GAGAGAGAGAGAGAGTTTCATTGTTATCACTTTTTTTTTCATCTGGGAACTTATAATATCTGAACATTTATCTTATAGGTAATTGATAAAGCTCTCATAATTAAAAAAAGAAAAGCATTCATGAAGTAAATGAGGGGAAAACAAGGAAAACAAAACAAAATGAATCATGCCACACAATAGGCATGAGGCAAAGATCTTCTGTGTGTGTCCATGGGAAGTATACAATACACTATGAATGGTATATGGTACACCAAAGGTGCATCTATCATCCATACCCAGTGAGAGACATTGACTATCCCTTATACCAAGGTGTGAATGTCCATTGACCCAGTTAATCTTTACCACCTTTCATTAGGAATGGATGGTGGATGACCCCATACCGTAGCCATACACAAGTAGTGGTTGGTATATTATCCCTATGTTTATTTGATCCTTATCTCATATTTTATATACGCTGACAAAAAAAACAGGGGTAGCCAACCATACAATGGAGACATTATTTCCACACAGGATATACCAAAATTGCAGCAAGAAATTCCTCAAGTGGTTCAGATTTCACCACAACCAGGGAACAAGATTTTACAGAACGCGAAGCATCATAAGAGTGTCCTTACTTATTTGGATGAATTCAAATATGGGTTTCCATCTGATGGCCTATCTTGCATCTCTAATAAATGGTGGGTACCTGACAATCCAGATGGTATTGACGGACCTGAAAACTCAGTTGTCAAATATGCATTATCCACCCAAAACTCAGCTAATGGCTTAGTTGTGTGTTCTGAGGAAGCACAAAATTCTGGCCCAACAATATGTTTGGCAAAGACCAAGAGAAGACAAGACTTATCTGATGAAGAACTTGGAGGGGCAGTCTTATTATCATCGATTAGAGAGAGAAATACAGAATATGGGAGGGAAGCACTGAAGTTGGGTTTTTCTAGGGGCTATGATGGATCCAAGTTAGGGGGTAGAGAGAGAGTCGTGCTTCTTAAGGCGTTTGGGTCTTCCTTGCCAAGTCAGTGGAGATACAGCTTCCCTTGAGAGGAATTACATGCTTCTAACTCAACTTTGAGTTTAACGAAATCCAAGAGAAGAACAAACTGTTCTGATGAGGATATTAGAGGGACATTCTTATGATCATTGATGTGTGTGTGTGTGTGTGTGTGTGTGTGTGTGAGAGAGAGAGAGAGAGAGAGAGAGAGAGAGAGAGAGAGAGAGTAGTAGTTATTATTATTATATTATTTACTTTATTAAGTTAATTAAATATATATATATATATTATTTATTATTGTAGTAGTCGTCGTACTATTATTATTAGTTACGTTAGTTACTTTACTTTACTTTACTTAACTTAAC